TCCTGCCTGCCTGTTGGGCCTGTCCCAGGGAACGTAGGTTGCGGTTCCCTCTCGCACTCCCGGATACTCCTCAACCTAATCACCTCCTCCCGGAGCTCTGCCACTAAGCTGAGGAGTTCCTCTGCCTGGGCGCACCTCCCACAGGTGTGCTCACTGCAGCCATCCGGTACTGGTGTAACAGAAGGGCACACCCTGCAGCCTGGCACCTGGGAAGCAGCACGTTCCCATCGGAACTCTGTCTGGGAAGCTGCATCAGTTGCGGACATAGCACTGCTCCCTGATTGAGCTGGCAGAGTTACAGCGCCCTTCCTGTGCACCCTGCCACGCCATGCCCTGGCTGATGCTCCCCAGGGGTTTCTTTTATAGATGTGGGGGCTTGGCCACGGCTGCTCCTGGCACCACCCAGGTCTTGTTAGCCGCTCTCACATGAGCTGCCAGCTCCTGGCGGGTCCCTCTGCTCCCCTGAGGTTTCCCCAGTTCAGGAAACCTCCTGGTACACCGCACCAGAGCGCTCCACTGCGGGTCGTGCCAGCACCGGAGCTGCTCACTTCATCTCGCCTTCCATCCAAAAGGGAAGAGCCAAACGGGAGCTTCACCATTTGCAGCAGTCTTCAAAACACCAACTGCCACAAAGGGTCCCTTGCTGCAGTGTCACAGAGCTGCCCGGAGAACCCATCGGGCAGCCGTGTCCAAAAGACACTTCTCAAAATTCAAAACATCAGAGTCTTTAATATAACCAGTTAACATGAAAATGGGAAAAGAGGCCACACAGAACCAGTGCTGCAACCCCAAAAGAGGAAGCATGCAGCTTTCTGCATCCTCTTCTAGCCAGGAGAGGCACGAAGGAACACACTAGGCCTAGGCAAGACAGGGTAGGATTGAGCGCAGGGACTGGAACTGCCCTGATCCCTGTTACTGTTAAGAGTTTTAAGCACGTCCAAGCTGTACACAAATAAGAATCAAAGTCTCATTTTGTATGATGCTCCAACATCTTCACGCGTTGACGTCTCTCTTGGCAGAAGGGAACAGGAATAACAGCGAGGCAGGGCTGAGAACCTGTCAAGCCCTGCAGCATCAAGCATCAAGGCTTTCCTTGTGGTGGCTCCTGCAGCCTTCTCCCTCCTGCCTCACTTGCTGCTCCATGCTCTCCCCTGATGATGACGACAATCTCCTCTTCCTCTCTATCTCCAGCTCCTTAGACCAACAAAAGGGAAAAAAAAGAGCAAGTTTCTCCTTGCTGCCTTACCAAGGGGTAAAACGTTCTTTCGCCTGGAGAACAACAGGACAAGAGAAAAGCAGCAGACATCTCCTGTATGCAGGACACCCAACACCTCTTTCCCCCATCCTTGCTCCAGCTAGCTGAGCTGCAAACTGGAACTGGATATACTCACCCCTTCTGGCATTTCTGTTTGTATCTGGGTCTCTTCTCATCACTGCATTCCTGCTCCTCGGGTGCCAAACAGCTTCTGCAACAAGAGCAGTCAACCATGCCTGAGTGTGTGAAAGAACAGCTTGACTCCCTTCTCCCACCAAAAATCTCCATGGTTTGGACATGTTATGCAATGTCTCTAATCCTTTAGGATTTCAGGTAGAAGATCATCAAAAGAACAGCTGAAGAATCAAACACTGTGCTTAAGGGCTAAAGGGAAAAAAAGCCACATGAATCCCAAAATAACGTAGATGAAATGAAGTACAGACTATGAGACACAGTTCAGCACATCACATATTATGCCAGTCATTTCTGCTTCAGTTTTGAGTTGACAGAGAAATGCATCGTAACCCATGTGGGCAGCATAGACCACTAATACCAGCTGCTTCAAAGGAAAGGAACTGTCACAGTCATGAATTACATGGAAACAGTCTATAGGAAAAGTTCTCTCTATGCACCACTATACATTTGCAGTGATGTCCCAAAGCACAAGATAAAAATCCTGCACGTACAGGTTTAGAACAGAATGTAACTATTACTTTTCTGGCAGCCACAAGTACTGCACAGGTGTTTTCACTGAACTGTCCAACACATTCTTAGGTCTCCATCCTCAGACGATACTGCTAACTTAGAAATTATCTGTATACCTAGGCAATCCTAATTACTCCTTCTACAGTACCTTACTTGCTTGCTCTGGTCTGCCACCACCTTGCTGATTGCTCAGTTGAACAAGGTCAGTCTGAAGGTACTCATGAATCCCACAGTCTGTTTGTCTGGCTTGACAAAGAACTGTCTCCCATCTGCAATCTGTGCTGCTTCCTCTTCCAGACCATTGACTTTTAATGTATCAAAGAGCTTTAAATGGAGGCAGTCCTGTATTAGCTTCCTCCTCTGTTGAAAAGTGGCTTTATTATCTAGTTTCTAGGCTATAAAAACTTACTCCTCAGCCTCTAGAGCTAACTGATTTCCTTAATAGTTGATTATGAAGGCTATCTTATCTATCTTTGTGGAATGCTGAACTTCAACAGATAATAGCAATTCAGCTGTATAAACTGGTTGCATCCTGGAATTTGTTGATCAGAGAAAAGGATTTTCCTTCAGTAACGTCCAGACAGTTGGTCTCAGTCCCAACTCTACCAGTTCTTTCTGCTTAGCATTTGAGCTGATATTCTCGGTAAGGAAGGAAAGCTTTTTTATTCTCCAGCAGGTCAGGAGATCTCAACAAGAAACTGTATTTTGTTATTAGCAGTTTTGCCATTTGACTGTAATTCAATCAGCACATTTAACTAAAACCCATCCAATCCTTCAGAAGCACTATAATGTAAATGGCCAGATTCCTCTAGACCAAAGACTGTTATTTTAAAGGCATCAGGAAAAAAGGGGTCAGTCAGTGACCAAAGCAAGCATGTACTGAAACATGATCCTATTTTAACATCGCCTATTTTAATGAAGATCTGTATTCACAGGTATGCGGAAGGATAGCAGGAAGTCAAGCATTTGACAGAAACCATTTGTATTTCAAGGATGTGAGATGGCATGCAAAAAGTCATCCAGGACTCAATTCATGAGTCTCCTACTTGTATTTGGGGAGGGGATGGAGACGACAAAACCAGCTTTCTGGTAACAATGTAGGGTCAGGGAGCTTCCTCCACTTCAGACACTCTTCACATCATACCCATGTCTGGTCTGGTCTCTCTCTGCAAAAACTAATGCTCGGTCTGAGTATTTCAAGTGTGGAGTAAACACCAGGAAAGGCTGTTCAGAACAAGCGCTGCCACCTGACCCCAAAGCAATCCCAACCCCTTTGGCACAGGACATGGGATGGTCCAGGGCAGCCAACGTGTCTCTGTTCTCACGGGGACACCCTACCCATGGTGTGGCATCCCTGTAACCACCAGGCCAAACTCCACAGGTTCAAATCTCATTTCCCTATAGGAAGGAGGAGTCCAGACACCACTCGGCAGCCTCTGCTCCTCCTGGTGGCACATTCCCACCCCACCTTGGCCAAGGGAAACCCCCAGGCCTTTAACACTGGCAAAGATCAAAGCAGTGGCAAACTGGTTCCTACGCTATCATGCAAGCTGCGTCCACGTTTCCCAAGTTCATCTGTGCCATCTTTGCCTTCCAATAGCTGTTGAGTTTCTGTCTCAGCACAGCAATCATCTGTCTGGAAGGAAGAACTCCGTAAGAAGCTGGGCAACTCCCACTGGCACAACAGGCAGCACAAGGAACAACCAGGGCAAACACAAACCCTTTCCCCAAGTTCCCCAAGAACTTGACTTAGACTTGTGATTGCAGGTTTTAGTTTGGCACCTTAGCAGCCTTTCTGTATCACCCACCCCACAGCTGCAAAAAATGGGCCAATATCATCATAAAAAAATTCAAGCTACAGGTCCCTTTCCCCAAGTGCAGCCATTCCCGAAGTGTGGATTGCTGCACCCCCAGGAGAGCAGGGGCTAGTGCCTGGAGGGAGGATGTTGCCTGCTTCTGCTGCACCCCTTAACTGGAGGCTCCACATGAGCATCTGACTTTTTCTTTTGGCTTTATAGGTGTGTTCCCAGTTTGGGCGGCTCTGCTAAAGTGCACACGAACACAGGCTCCGTTTTATTTTGGAGGAGTATCCTCAGGGCTGGAGTCTTGAGGGAATGAGCTGGAGGAACATAGAGACTGTGTCCTTTCCTTAGCCCAAGGCTATATGTTTGCACCAGACTTTCAGGATAAAATTCTCCATGCTCTCTAGGGGCACTAGAGAAGGAAAAAATGGACCAGTCTGGAGCTACTTCACAATAAACAGACCTAAGAACAGGTGCAGTGCTCAGAACAAAGGGTGTATCACAGCGAAACCCTCTCCAAGCAGCAGCCTTGGGCACAGGTCTCTCTTACTGGTACTCTTTGCCTTCTTCAAAGTCCTCTGTTGTGTGCTCGATTCAGGAAGTTGCATTCAATTACACCAATCACACCTACACCTCCTCCCTGCACCAGGGGCCAGAAATGAAGCGAAAGAGATGCTTTAGCCAATTCTGCTCAGAACTAAAAAAAAGTAGTCCTTCAGGGAGCACTGACACCCCAAACCCCTGATACAAAAGTTGATGGCAACACCATTGCCTGTGCATTGCATGCCAACAGCACACATGAGGTACAAACACCTGGCAAACCCCCCTGCAAGGGTATTTTGGGCATATAATACTGAAGCTTTTTCTTCCAGAAAGCAGAGCACAGGCTGGCTTAACTAACAGACCAGAATTATCTGTGGCAAAGACGGTCACCTCCAAGGCATGCCATAGCTCTGAGATACTGCTGCAAGATAACACCTAGAAGCAAATGCTTCAGCGACCACTTCCTAACAGAGTCCAGGCTATCCTGCCAGAGCAGATCCCCTTCTGGAAATCACCCTGGAGGAGAGGCAGGCTGCCCATCCTCTGGTAGCACCTCCAGACACAGCAGTATTAAACAGTAGCTGGACATCTCTAGTTACCTAAAACCCGGACAGGCACCCATTGTGCAGATGCACACATTGATCTGATCCTAGGGACACACCAGGTCTCCTTGTTCAATGCTGGACACCATGCAATGTAGAAGCAAGGAGCTAAGACAAGGCTGCTTTTTGCAAAGCCCCATTCTCCCGTCTCCCAGATAAAAAGGAATAGAAGACAAGTCCAACTACTCACCTTCCTTTGACAGCCCACCTTCTCATAGGATCTGATGAGCTGGTTGTTGTGGTACATCATGATCCTGTAGTGGCTTTTGTTCTTGCAGGTGAATCCAAAGGTGATCTTCACCCTTTTGCTCTGAGGGAAAATGTGTCAAGGATGAAATAAGGAGGAGGAGCGGGGGAGATGCCTGAGTTCCACAGGAAGGAGTGAAACACTCTGGAGAGGCCACAGCTTCAAGCAGCCCACACTTCCCTCAGCACACCACCTTCCCTCTTCAGCAGGGAAAAAGCGCTCAGCCTTGGCCTGCTAACAACAACTCCGTGCATGCAGCCAACAATCACAGATAAGAACAGGCATAACTGACTGGAGGGGAGTTGGATACAGCTGTACTGAGCAGAGCCAGTCTGTCACTGCCAAGTCAAAATACGCCTTGGTTATAGCTTTAATAAAAACGCTGATATGCATTTATATTACCCTGATAATAGAACAGGCAAGACCTGGCCAAAGGAAACTGCCTTGGAGTATACCACAAATGAGATAACTAATGACTAATAATTTTACTTGTGATTAAAAGATAAATGACCAACGTTTACAAAACCAAATCAAGCACATCCGGTCAGGGCTGAAGAAATCTTAACAACTAACAACACTAAGGTTCATCAAAGAAGAACGAGCTCTCCTTCAGCAGACTCCAGTTTCACAAATTCAGTTCTAAACAGGCCACTATTAGATGGGGAACTGTGGGTTTAGGATTAAAATATTTCATTAACCACTTTTTGTCTACATATATTTTAATTTGCTTACTTCTTAGAATCAAAGCTCATGTGTTTGTAGTGTACGTAGTCATCACGTGCTTTCCAATACAATGCTACTCTTTATCTGTACACAACAGGTGCTAAACTCCAAATATGGAGGATCTGTTATTTTATGCACACTGGCTATGCAAGGCCAAAGCACCTTTGAAAGCAAGTGGAAAACCACTACTGCTTGGGCACTACCACTACAGGTTTCTAACCTGCTGCATTTCTGCAAATCATCTCAAAACACAGTGGCTGTGCAATTCCTGGAGAGAGCATTAGCACACAGATGTGAACTACTGTGAAGCAACAAAAGCAGGAAAGTGGCTTTGTTGGTTCTCCAATTCCTGACTAAGTACATAGGTACAGACTTTCGGTAACGCCTTTTCATCTTTGGTCAATCTTTTCATATTAACATAAGCACAGAAATTCATGACACAAAATGACCTTTAAAGCACGTCAGAGGAAGGGGGATAAAAGATGCCCAGGCGCAGTTCAAAACAGCTTAAGCAAAGTTCTTTCCGGAAGAGGTTTGAAGGGTAGATTGTTCTTTGCAGTAAAGCTTACTTGGGGATACTGGTTTCTGTTCTGTGGACACTGCTCTCCAAAAGCACATGTCAGCAGGTAAGCCGAAAAAGTCATCTTACTCCCAAAGAGCTGGGATGGACTAGGAGTGGGCGTTGGGAATAAGAATCAACATGCTCCAAGAACTCAAATGACCAACTTCTAGTCAGCTGGGAAAAGTCAGCAACCAGCTGATGATGAACAGGACAGAGGGGAAGAAAGGCTTTTCTGATCTCATTATACATTTTGATAAAGTGTTTTTTCCACTGAACTGAGTAATACTGTCATTTAAAATACTTTTCAGCAGATATTTTCCCAAGCAAAACTGACCAGTCAGCAAAAACCTCAAGCCTTTCTCCACCTCATTCTCCCCTGACACAGCACATCAGCCTTGGGGTATGGCAGGAACTGGCTCACATACAAGGTGAGCCGTGAGCCCTATCACCCACTGCTCTGGCAGAAGCAGCTTTGAGGGCTCCCTTCTAAGCTTCACATCAGGATTTGGCTTTTCAAAGGTGACCAGAAGATAGGAAGGAGAAGATAATTCAGCCTCTCTATTCATTTAAATCCTGGGTTTTTCTATACATCAGACCAGACAGGCCTGAGCCCAGCTGTGAGGTTGGTCTGGAACCCCTCAGTGTGCTGAGGCTGCTGTGGGAGCAGAGTGCCAAGAGGTGGCAGGGAGGATACAATGAACCTTGGCTTGTAAAAATCATATTCAATGTTGGCCAGGCTCTTGGTGATCAGTTGAGTGTTCACCTTCTTGTCGCAGGACAATCTGCATGCGAGGCTTCAGGTACAAGATATTGCAGTATGCCTGGGAGAGGGGACAGCATAACAGAAGAGGCAGGAGAATTCTAGTCACATGTAGTCTTTTCCAGGTGAACCCAAAATCTAGTTTGGATTTAATGTCTTTCATCCCCTGTGAGTCATGCACAGAACAAAGCTGGGGAAGGGCCATCCTGCTCCCTTTTCAGCTCTCACCAACTTACTCCATCTCCGGACCAGGAAACTCAGGAACCATCTTCTGAGAGTGCAGAACCTTTCTGCTGGGAATCTCCCCATTGTCTGCAAGGAAGTCTGCTATCCAAATATCATGCTCATCCGTATCAAAATCCAGCTCCAGCTTCCCGTCTTTATTTCTGAAAAAAACCAAGCACAAAAATAAAGAAAGTCTCCTCCAATCATCAGCACCCTGGTCTGCTCTTCTGTATCAGGATTCCAAGGGGAAGTTCTGCTCTGAGGAGCAGATAAAACAGCGTATTTCACACGCTCCATGGATCTCATTAGTCACTCATTTAATTACACGTATTTCTGTGCAAAACACCAAAGTAACAGAACACTTCGGAACAGTCTTGATAACACAGAAATATGGAAGTTCCATTGCACAGATGGGAAAAGGAAGTAAATGTATTAATTGGTTTCCTCTGAAAAAAAGAGCATGCCTGTAACAGACAGAACTAGACCCATCTCTCCTAACTCCCAGCATGGCACCCCAAGCACTCAGTCATACAGAGGGAGAAGGGAGAAATCCCTGCATTTGTTCCTCCAGTGGCCAGGGTGGATGACAGTGGGCTTATACCACCCAGGCCAGGCGCTGTCCTGAAGCTGTCTCTGCTTTTAGCTCTTGCCCATCCTCGGGGCACCGCTGCCTCACCGCACGCCCCAGCCCCATACCTGCGAATGTTCCAGATGAGGATGCGCATGCCCTTTTTACCTGGAACAGCATCGAACTGTGCCAGCAGCTCCTCCCTGGTGTTGAAGAGGGTATGCTCCAGAATGGCCTCCAGGCTAGGCACAGAGTCTTCAGTTACAATCACTTTCTCTAGAAGCCACAGAGTCAAGGAGAACAGGGTTGCCCTACCTCCCTTTTGCCACAGGGGCACAAAAAAATGCAGCTGCAAAGACCTGGCCACAGGCCTGACACTCCAGAGAAGTGTGACACAGGAGAGACTACAGGAGGATGGTCTCAGAGAAAGACTGAAGCAGGACAGACATGACAGTAGGATGCTTTGAAGAAAAACACTTAAAAGAATCAAGCTGAGTCGGGGGCAGCAACATCATGCCAGCTGATAATATACAAGTGGTGCCTGGCAGCTGTATATTCTCAACTCCCTTTGGCATGAAGGAAACACAGCCTGGAAGTATGCCAGCATGCCCAGGCAGCACCAAAGGCCATTACAGGTGCAGAAAAGCAGCAGAGAGCAGAGCTCCTGGGCCAGGGATGTGTACATGGGTCTGCATGGCAGGGGGAAAGGGACAGAAACAGGTAGCACATAGGTTGGTGGCATAACTGCAAAGGCTTTCCAGGAGCCAGGTTAGCAGAAGATGCCCCCAAGCAGATGCACAACAAGTTCTAGCCCCAGGAAAAGGGAATAATGCTGTATGGCAGTGTGTTAACAGCAAGGCCTGCCGCAAGGATTCTCCAGGTGCAGCACTGATGACAGTTATTCTCACCCTCTCCAAACATTGTGCTGTGCACACATGGGCAAGGGACAGCCACAGGCAGCCTGTGCCCTCAGCATCATGGCAGTGCCACTGCCCCCCATGTCCCTTTGGAGGAGGGTAGCAGCTCAGCCACTCGGGCAAAGGAGGATACCATTTTGCTGGTTGAATGACACCAGTGGGATAATCACTGTCTCAGCATGGACACAGTCCATATAGGTCTGGGAAAGCAGCCCCACGCTGAGAGCCCCTCCAGTCTTGGTGAAGATGATGGCATCCTTCCCCAGCCGCATGGAGCCAGACTTGAAGCCATACAATCCAACGGACGGGTGGTCTCTTTTCACAGCCTTCTCCATGAAACCGAAGCTGAAAGCAAGCAAAGCAGAAAGGGGCTGGAAATAGGGAGTGCCTGCCTCACTCCAGGCACAGGTCCACATTACCACTCTCAACTTTTGCAAAGGGAGCTTAGCTCCTGTTCAACAGAGAAGACTTGGGATGGCTGCAGTGCTGGTAAAGAAGCCAAATCCTGCCAGTCCTATACTGCCTTCACCATTGAAGAACCACATAAATGGTCAGGAAAAGTTACTCACAAGGAGGATTTCTTTAGCACCTAGGGAAGGACTCCAAACCCTAATTTACCCTAAGCACCTCCACAACATTTTTTACATTACAGACAGGGAAATGAAGAAGCAGAGGAGCAAGGCAATCTGTTTCCAGCACTGCATGCCCAGGCCAACAGCCAGCCCGGGAAACCCCCTGTGCCTGTTCTTCATAATTCTGCACCAAGCCCCACCTCTCACTGTCCCCTCTGGGATGGTTTGTACCAGCAAGGGGATAGCCCTCCTCCACTGCACACAATGACAGGGCAGGAAGGGGACAGGGCCTCTGTTTTTTATTTCCTGAACCCCACTCACTTTTCTGAAGTACTGTGTTTATGTGTCTTCTGCATTTAAAGAAACAATTTTCTCTGCTTTACTCCCCCGCATTTTGCTTATATCAAACAGAATGGTCGGACAGAAACAAAACCAAGCTCCAGCCCCTTCACCCCTGCAGATAAGCTATAGCAAAAGAGAAAGGACAGGAGTTTCATATCAAAAGACTCCTTCCTCCAGCCTTAAAAACCTCTAGTCCAAGAGGCAACCAAAGGAGCATCAAGAAGGCAGAGCTGCTTTGGCAAAAAAGCCTCATCCTGGCAAAGCCTTTCTGTGTTTGGGCTCAAAATGCCCTGGTAAAGTTATACCCTCTCTGTAAGACTCGCATCACTGATTGTTCAAGTAAAAGCTTGAAACCCATTTTCATTGAAGTTAGTTGTGCAATTAAAAGACAAGTCCTACTGAACTGAAATTCCTTATCAGACAATATCACGCTTTAAATCTCTTGCCATTAGCCTGCCTCATTCTCTCTCATTGCTATAGAAAAATACTTCACATAGAAAGATTAACATGATATAAACACGTCCTTTAAAGCCATGACTCATTTCAGCATCCATAGGGTAGGACAGACAAGAGGGGAAACTCCTCTGTAACATGAGTCTACAGAAAAGGACTCTTGGTTTGACTTCAGGCACGTATGTTCAGTTTTATGCGGACCTTCTCCATGTCCCAGCACAAAATTTTGCACCTCCTCTGCTTGTTACACAATTTGCACACCAAGGAGCCAAATAGCTTATGTTAGGGTGGTTAATGACAAGCAAAAGTTTGCTAGACCACCCATTACACATTGAGGCAGATTGTGTACATGTATAAGAGCAGTTATTTTGCACTGCTGCATACTGGGAAAGTAAAGAAGCAGGGAGAGGTTTATACATTAATGCTGGATGCTTACAATAGGAAGCCAAAGGCCAGTGGCAATGCTCGCAGGAGAGAGGAGAATCCAGCCCAGCAGTTGGGTGTGGGAGGGATCACAGCTCATTACCTGAGCATGCGGTAGAGTTTGTGAGGAGTCATTCCTGCCCCGTTATCCGTAAAGTTAGACAAAGGTGACCCTTAAGCTCTGCAACATCAATACGGAAAAGCTTAGCTGTCACACTGCGACACAAAGCATCGTCTAAGGAAAGAAGAAATCTGGGCAGTAAGAAATAACGATATTTCACCCTCGTTCCATCCCAAACCCTCTTTGCCCTCAGGTCAGTTCCAGGGAGCAAAAGCAGCTTCCCAAACCTCCTCTCTTCCAGAGGCCCATCCCGATCCGGCCCGCACTTACGGCGCGGAGGCAGATGCCCCCCTCGGTGCCGGCCATAGCCGCGCCCCGGCTCCCTCAGCCCGCTGCCTGCCACAGGACGGCAGCCCCTGCGCGGCACGCGCCCCACAGCACGGCAGCAGCTCCCACGCGGGTGGGCGGGCGGTTGAAAGCGTTAACGCCCCTCCCTCCCCCGCCGGGCGCGGCGACATGGCGGCGCCCGGTGCCGTGCAAGAAAATGGCGGCACCCCGGGCCGAGCCCGCCCTGGGGCGGGGTGGCG